TTCAAGCCTTAAATTATTTAGAGGTAAGTTTTATAAAAAAAAAAAATTATTTAATGTTAATTTATTTTTTATAAAAAATGATCACTAAATTTAATTCCTTACTTTTTTATAGATACTGAATTCTTTAAACCTTGGATCATTCAAAGGTAAACCCTTTGATAAAAATAATTATGTTAATTTTTTTAAATAAAAAAATCCAAATATTAAATTTCTTACTTAATTTATTTTTTTATAAAAAAAGATCACTAAATTAAATTTTTTACCTTTTTGTAGATATCAGATTCTTCAAACCTTGAATCATTTGAAGGTAAGCCTTATAAAGAATAAACTTTAATATTAAATATTAATATTAAATATTTTTTAAAAAAAGATCAATAAATTCTCTTTTGTAGATACTGTCTCCTTCAAAATTTAGATTGTTCAGAGATAAGCTCTTTAATAAAAATAATTAATATTAATTTTTTAAAAAAAAATCTATAATACTAAATTTTTTACCTTTTTGTAGATACCACTTTCTTCAAAAATTAGATCTTTCAAAGATAAACTTTATAAAAGAAATTTTTTAATGTTAAATGTTAATATTAAATTTTTTTATTAGATATTAGATTTTTCAAGCTTGAATCATTTGGAGGTAATTCTTTTGATTGAAAAATTAATGTTAATTTATTTTTTTATAAAAAAATTCACTAAATTAAATTTCTTACCTTTTTGTAGATTCTGAATTCTTCTAATAATTAGATCATTTGATAGTACTATAAAAAAAACTTTAATAAAATTCACTGATAATATGCACACTAAATTATTTTTTAATGCAAATTTACTAATAATTGATGAACTAATTTAAAACAGATAGTAGACTATTGATTTTATTATTAAATTTATATTTCAATATTAATACTAATATTTTTTATGATTTACATTAATCTCTAATTAGATTTTTTAAATCTATTTCTGATACTATTTTATATTAAAAAAAATAGAGATTTGATACATGAAGCCTACATGTTACCTATAATAAAAGTAAAATAATAAATTATTGATATTTACTATTAATTAAAATAAATAAAATTTAATTAAAAATTGTACTTACTATATTTTAATAAAATTTGTGTACTAACTGTAATAAAAAGTGGAATAGCAAATTATTAAAGACGTTACTATTGATAAAAATATATATAATTTACAAAAAAATTGTATTTAATATATTATGTATAAAATAAGTACATTACTTTTCAGTATATATATTATTATTAAACATCACTCCTACTAAATTACCATTTTTTTTCAAAAAAATTAAAGTTTCAAATAAATCCTCCTTCATATTTATTTTTTTTTGCTGACATTATTAATTCAGCATCGTTAAAAATCCTTTCACTTACTTCAGATGTTACTTAAATAACTAATATTTACGTTTTAGCTAAGCTAAAATTGGAAATTGCTTCTGATTAACATTTCACCATTTTAAAGATCTTGATTATTTTAAGCTTGTATCATTACTAAATATCTTTTAATCTCATTATCTTTAATTTGAGAATCATTAATTTCATCATCAGAAAATAAAGATTTCTTATAAACTTATATTTTTAATATTTTTTTTTTAGTTTTGAACTATATGATTCTTGTTAAAAATCAATATTATTTTTTGCTAACTCATATACTTCATAAAGGCTAATTTTTGCTAATTCTTTTTGATTTATTAGTTGCAAATTTTAATTTTTTTACATTAATCTAATAAAACTGCAATTAAAGCTTTCTTTTCAATCACTTTATAATAATATTCAAGTACTTTATAAAGATTTGCTTTAATTTTATCCAAAAGACTAAAGATATTAATAAAAGTATTTATTTGAATTTTTCATTTAGCTTCAGATTTATCATTTTTGTCAACTTCTTCAAATTGATATTCTTCAAATGTATTATTATTTATTTCTAAATTTATATTACTATTATAAAATTCTTTGGTTAGATAAAAGAGTTTTTTGAGTTTAGTAATATTTGAATATATATAACTCATCATTGCATATTTTGTATCCTCTAATTTTTCTGTTAATTCTGTAAAAAGTTTTAAGATTTCAAGTAAACCTCTTATAGTATTCTACTCATCACTAGTAAGATTAATTTTTTTTAACCTTTTTACATCTTCTTTAATATCATAATCTTTACTTATATTTAATAAAGAAATAATAATTTCAATATAAGATTTTAAAATTATTAATCTTTCCTATGCTATAAATATGTTTGACAAACGTGTTTTAACATTATAATTGCCCTATAAAACCATTTGTAAATCACTTTCCTTTCTGGGTTTTCTTCAGAATTTTTTTTTGTACATCTATAAGATATTCATTTTGTTTGAATATAGTAAAAAACTTGATTAATTTTTTTGCATGTGCAATTAAAATTTTAGCAATAAGCAATCCTTTTTTAATAACCAGTTAAATTATATATGCGGTACATGATAATTGTTTTAAAAAAGTAATTAGATTAAAACATTTTTTCATATTAGAAGCATTATCTGTCATATAAAAGAGAACTTTATTTTATAATCCTAATTAAAAATAACTTTTTCTAATACACTTTGAATAGCATTTCCTATATGTAGATACAGCATATATTGAATAGCTAAAGTTATCTCCTTTATCTCAAAATCTGATGTAATAAAATGATATGTAATACTAAGAAACTCTTATTTACTACAAAAAGTCCAAAGGTCATAGGTCAATGAAACTGACTTTGCATTTTCATGAATGTATTACTTTAGATATCTTTTTAAAAATTTATATACTTCAAAAATTCTTTTTCAAAATTTTTTATCAGTTGGAAGTTCAAAGTTTTTATTTAATATATTGATAAATTTATGAAAAAAAGGAGATTTTAAAAGATAAAGTAGTTGAAAATCTAGAATAAGCCATTTAAAAAGAAGAGTTTTCAAATATTTTTGTCAACCTTGTATCATTTGTGAAAGTGAATCTAATAGAATAGTATAACAATCAATTTTAATTTATTTTAAAAATGATATAGCCTTTAAAGGTATAAAATATTCATAAATTTTATATTTTCATCTAGGATAGCTAATAATACTATTAGTTGAACCTGATGTCTCTATTTTTACTATACAAATTTTACTACTATTGAATGGTGATTGCATTCAAATATAAATTTTTTTAAATCTGTTGAATGAATTTTTTTTTTACCACAATTATATATCTAACTACAAAGTTTTGAGCCTCTTTTACTTTTTTTTAACTTGAATATTTAATGAATCAGATTTTCTTCTGATTTTTCAAATATATTTATTTCTTTTCTGAAATATTATCATTAACTATATCAATATAATTAATATTATCATTATTTTCAAACAATGAACATTTTACTGAAGTTTTTTAGTTGACATATTTAGAAATAATATTTATAAATGAACTTTTTGTTTCTTAATCTTATTTCTTTTTGTTCTTTTTACAGCAAATTTTATTACTTACAGACTACCTAGTAAATTTAATATGTGACATATAACACACATAACATACGTACGTAACATAGTAAAATTTCTCAATTTTTTACAATGATTATCGTTATCCATATAATCCTTTTATCAAAAATATCAATATGAAAATGCGTACAATTCTTTCATCAAATATGGAATCTGAAGTAGAGTTAATTTATCATCCAAACTCATATTCTATATGTTTAATATGTATTAAATGTGCAAAATTCTATAAATCTTTTTGTTCCTGTGAATCTAAAGAAATTTCTGGAATAAGAATAAAAAATACCTTGTAGATTTTTTACATAAATTACTTACAACTCTTTTACAAATAATTGATTAAAATTAGATCAAAGATTTGTTTCATGATTTTTTAAAAAAGTTTCTTCTCAAATAAAAATACTGAAAAATCAAAATGATATTAATATTTGTCATAAATGTTTGAGCAAATTTAATCAGTTTAAAGGTTTATATTACATAAAGTTTTAATAAAGTTTTATTTTATTTATTATTAGTATTAAAACTAATTTATTAATTATATGTATTTAAAGCTAAAAATAAAAATATAGATATTTCAAAATTTTTAGATCCTATTGATACTGAAATTGAGATAACTTTGAAGTTATCTTTATATAATTCATCATCAACTAATATAGCATCTGGTATTTTGAAGTCTTTAAAACTAAGTAAATACATTTAAAATATTCTTATATCATCATTTTTAAAAAAATCCAACTAATTCAGTTTATTTTAAAGTATATATTATGTTGGTATGTTTTAATCAATTTTAGTTACCACAAAAAAAATTAGAATGGCTATTTCTATTTGAAAATATTTCAAATTATGATCATATTGAAGAAGAAATATTATCATGTAATTTACCAAAATCTTGGGAAAAAATAGAAATAGGATTAATTTGTTATCAAATTTCTTTAACGGCAAAAGCAGATCATTATGATTTTAGATCTGATAGAGCAATTATTACATTTAAAACTATAGCAAAAGAAAATAAAAAAATTCAATTATATGTTTATCAAGAAAAACAACTAAAACAAAAAAAAAATAACTTATGGAAGTGCTGTTGAAAATTTAGATGATTCCTCAGAAATTAATTTCAAAAAAGATTTTGCATAAGAATTTTTTTTGTATTATTATAATTTTAAATAATTCTTTTTAACTAATATTATTATTATTATATATCTTTTAGACTAAAATGAATTCTGAAATTACAGATAACCTTAATTCTGCTAAACAAAAAATAATTAATTCTCTAAAGAAATACGAATATTATACTTAAGGGCAGTGTTGTCATGGGACATTGATAAGATACTGATGGGATGCTGATAGGACATAGATAGGACAGATAGGACCTTTGAAACATAGTGTGAGACAGGTTGGGACATATAGCTGGGATATATAGCTGGAACAATAAATCTCTGGAATATCAAGAATGTATATCACTACTCAAGGGTATTTAATATCTGATGATTGCTATTATTTTACATTAAATAATAATATGATAACATTATGGGCAAGAGCTTTGGTAAATTAAAATACAAAATATGTTTTATTTACTTATTTATTTATTCTATTAATTATTTATTTTCTTATTTATTTAGTCTACCGTAATGAAAGATATTACAGAATTAAATTCTCTAACAATTCTAATGTTTGATAAATGAAAGTATAAACTAATTTCTAATATACCTAAAGATACATTATTATTACATAAAGAACTTGAAGTACTACTTGGTATCTTTTATAAATATTATAAATTTTGCATTATATTATATATTTATTATTTATTTTAATATTATATACTTTGCATTTAAAGATTCTGTTAAAGTATATTAATAAGCATATTATTAAAAAGCATTACATTTAATACAAGAAAATAATTCTATATAAATCTAATATTAATATAACAAAAGGAATGACTTTTGATGAATTATAACTTTTGTATTTCTATCAGGATCTACTAACAATAAGAGATTTGTTATAAAATCATCATTTAATGATAATGCAAAAGAATATCTTCCAAATCAAATAATTGATACAATTTTTTTTGAAGAGCATGCAAATATTTGGGTTGATATAGAATTTATTTCAGTAGATTTCAATGAAATCTTTTAATAATGATTATAATAATAGTATAATAGTAGCAATTTATAACAATAATTAGCAATAATAATAACTGTAATAATAATTACAAATAATAATAAAGTGATATTTTTGTTAATTTTGTAAAATATATTTATTTAATTATAACATTTACAAATTTAAATATATCTGACATGTTGAAAACATGCATTAACTAATTCTTTTCTAATAGATATGCAACTTAAATTTAATATTTTTGTAAGATCTTCTAAAGTTTCAATCCAGCTACAATTTTACTTTAGAAAACTTTTAATATGATAAAATAATTGTTCAATTTAAAAAATAAATTATATTACTATAATAAAAAAAATATTAAACTTATAATAAGATATACTTATAGGATTATAATCGGATGAATATACTAGTAGAAATTCTAATATTATACTCTTTTCTTTACATAAAGATCTTAAATATTACCCTTTATAAATCAATGCATTATCTAAAATTAACACGTTATATAGTCCAGAGAATCAGTTCATTTTTGGTAACTATAATAATAATTAATATTAAGTTTAATTTAAATTATTACACAAATAATAAATATAAAAACATACTGTATTAATATATATTCTACAAAAAATTCAAAATATTTTGTATTTATCAGACTCTTTTGAATTCTATAAGCTAATAATCCATCTATATATAAAGTACTTTCAATTGTAAATCTCTGTTTTCTAATAAAAAAAGAAGGGTTTTTTGCTTGGGTTCCTGTTAAACTCCATCCATATCTTCTTGATAATGACCTTTTATCATATGCAGATTCATTACAAAATATCAATTATCTTGAAGAATATTGAGAAATTTATAAAATATAATCTACTTGATCAATCTTATTTCTTTCTTTTGCTAGTTTAGATAACTTCAAATAAATAAAATATTTTGTTATTTTTTTATGATTAGATTTACATATAGTATTTAAAAAAATTAGATCTAAATACTTGTTTATATATAAATTCAAACTGATATAAAGTACGCTATATTGTAGTATATTCAATAGTGCATTCAAGCTACAATTCTATTTCATTTTATAATTCCATATATACCAATCTATCTTTTCATTTAGTAAAAATTCAAGGTATTTTAAATCATTTTTTAAAAGTAAACATAGTTTATAGTATAATGAAGGTAATGGTTCTATTGAACCATATTTTTTGAAAGAGAAGTATTATTCTATATATAAAAGTTTTACTAATTTTAAAATGTTTTGCTAATTTTCTTTATGAACATCCAAATAATTATTTTTCAATTATTTACCAATGAAAATAAAATGTAATTTTTAATTTCATCATGTGAAAAAAAATAATATGATAAATTATACATGATTTTTTTATTGTTTACAAAATTTATTGCATTTTCGTGTGTCATATGTGTTATGTATTATACATTAAATTTACTAGGTAGTCCGTAAGTAATAAAATTTACTATAAATAAAAAAATGTATTATTTATAAAAAAAGAATTAAAGTTTTTTATTTTATGTAATGTAAATGCTGATCATTATATTTATTTTAGAATAATCTAAATAATCCTAAAATTTATCCATTTATAGATTTGTAGATCTGGTTAATTATTTAAATATTATTCAGATATAATATAGATAATAAGATAATCTGAATTTATTCTAGAATATTATCTGTTCAAAAAGCTCTAGATGCAAATGAAAATAAATGATAATGTAAACGAAGGTGAAGATAATACAAACAATGATAATAATAGAAATAAGGTAAATATAAATAAAAATAATAGTAATAATGATGATGCAAATAAAAATAATAATAATATAAGTGAAGGCAAAGATGATACAAATGAAGATAATAATAGAAATGAGAATATATGTGAAAATAATGATGATATTGCAACTGAAAATAATGATAATATAAATAGAAGATCATAATATAAATGAAGATATAAGTGAAAATAAAGATGATGATAATGATGATGAGATTAATATAGATAAAGAACAAGAACGTGATTATATTTTAAGTTTTTTGAAATAAAATGAGCAAATAAGAGTAATGATATTTATTAGGTAATTTTTTAGGAGGTGGGGGGTAAGCGAAATTCTTAGGTTGCACATATTAAAATCTATCAAGGAATATAGAACAAATGGTAAATAATCTAATAAATCAAACTAGAAAACATAAAAATGATATTAAAATAATTCCTATAAGTTATTCTATAAATTTTTGTCATAATTTTATAAGAATAAAAAGTTTTATTAAGTAAGAAGACTGGTTCTAATGTAATCAGTTTGGTTAAAAATAGTTAGAGTATGCATGTTATTTGTTCAGAAAAATATAATATTTTTATAAAATTTAACTAAAATATTAGCACAATAACTTAGTATTTAACTTGAATCTCTCTGACTCTAAGATGCTATTATAGTATTAAGATGAATCCTCAAATTATGTATTCTAAATATTAGCTAAAATTATAGCATAATATTAACTGAAATTAATTGTAAATTTACTGTACTATCTGATATTTTTTTTATATTATTTCAATACTTTAAAAGGTAACCAAATCAGCAAAAAAGTGTATTTTTATATTACATTCTCAATAACTCATCTGATAATTAAATTGATACAGAAGATTAGTACTATCAATATAAAATTTAACATCTAAGTAGGAACAGAAGATCAATATCTTTACTAAAGAAATTAATAATCAAATAACTTAAAAATAAAAAGAAAAGAGCAATAGTTAGATTAAAAAATGTGTAATAATTAGATTATAGGATGTAATAAACTATACTAATATAAAATTATAAATATTAAGAAAGGCTTAAAAATAATTAAAGCATAAAAGAGATAATTGATAAAAAAGTAGATAGATATAAGGTGACATTCAGGTTATAGAGTAGTAAATAAATTATAATATAGTAATCAGATTATAGAGTAATATTAGAATTAAATAGTAGTAATTAAATTATACAGTGGTATTATAACCTATTGTAAGTAGTATATTACCATATAATATAATTATAGTATATACTAGGGAATGGCGAGGGCCGTTATGAAATCCAGAGCGTGAAAGGCGCAAGGATGTGGCAGAGATGTGAAGAAAATATTCTGGGAATATAATGTAAAAAAATTCTTTCGTCACAATATCACGCGTTCATTCACTAAATGATATCTCCTTCAAACAGTTCATGTTTGAAAGGTTGCTTCGTATAAAGAACTTGTGAAGGTTACAAGAAAGGAAGCTTAAAGAAGGACAACTAGTTTCATTAATATCGGAAGAAGCCACAATTTAACATAACAGTACGAAGCGTTAAAAAAAATAGGAACAAAGCATCAAAATATTATTTTAATTCACATTTC